AATCCAATAGTTAGCTCTAAGAAGAAAACTGCTATTTGGCTGGGCATGTGGACAATAAGGCCTTTTGCTTCATTTGTATTATTTGATTTTTTTTAACAATGAAAATGGTTCCATGTATTACCTGTATAATTAAAAATATATTTTTAAAATAATAAAAATTTTAAAAATGAATAGATCTTTAGTAACATTAAAAAGAACAAGTTTGGAAGAGTAAAGGAAGCAGAAGATAAAATATAATTAATTGAGACAAAATGGGAGGAAAAACAGTAGACAGAATATCACAGAAAACCTGGTAATAAACAGAAAGAAAAGGAAGTCAGGGGAAGATTTGTCAGAAGACAGACAAGAAAAATAATATTATCAGGAAGCCTGTTTGCTTACTTACTGTTTTAAAAAAAATGGAGATCACAATGTTAATAAGCCATCACAAGATTTAGTATCTGTTACAGGTATAAGGAATAACAATGGCAAGACCAGTATAGCAGGAATAATTAAGAAGGCGAGGCTGGGCATGATGTCTTATGCCTATAATCCTGGCACTTTGGGGGCCAAGGCGGGTAGATCACTTAAGCAGGAGTTCGAGACCAGCCTGGTCAACATAGTGAAACCACATCTCTACAAAAAATACAAAAATTAGTCGGGTGTGGTGGTGGACACCTGTAATCCCAGCCACTTGGGAGGCTGAGGCACAAGAATCGCTTGAACCCAGGAGGCTGAAGTTGCAGTGAGCTGGGATCAAACCACTGCACTCCAGCCTGGGTGACAGAGCAAGATTCTATCTCCAAAAAAAACAAAGAAGCAGCAGCCAGATCAATATACATTAGGTGAGAAAAATGATTTAAAGAAGGATCTAGGTCATCTCCAAGATATCACCCAAACAGCAAAAGAGAAAAGTGGCATAAAGTTTTCAAAATATCTTAGTGTTACATGAAAGGTGGACATCAGAGATATACAAACAAATGGTCTAACTGCTAGATGAGAAATATTTAGAAAAACCTTCTAGTAAGTACTATCAAGAATCACCATGATGAGCTGAGACATAATCTGATACAAAGCTATATATTCGTATTGGTTATAACATTTAGGTAATGGCATATGTTCATTACTGTGTTATCAGAAGTTGGAAATGCTTACTGTCATTCATTGCCTTTCTATATGCAAGATGTAATGAGTGATAAGGCACCATTTAATTGTATTTTAAATATTATAAATAATTTTTGCTTAGCATTAAACAGGAAGAATTATATGAGAGTATGGTATATGTCAAAATAAGTGTTGGAACCCAAATAATTAATGTTTCAAAATGGCTCTGTTATTTAGGAAACTAAATATTCAGTGTCCAGGTCCTTCTGGAAAATTCTCAGAGGGGAGATAAGCACTAACAACTAGCTACAACTTGTGAGAAACTAATTCATGTGGACCATTAACAAAACATGCATCCTGATTCAAAGCTATTCTTAAGGAGCTGTTCAAATTCTGGTAAAAGAAACAGGGCTATGAACCCCCAGGCTTGGGTCCCAGTGAGCAAACAACTTTGAACCACAGTAAAATCTATGCCCTTTAAAAGACAATGCACAGCAATACTACATTTCACTGGCGGTGGGGGGACGGCGGAATGGGCGGAGAGCTGAAGGGGAAGAAGTTGGGAGTTTCTTGAGTGCAGCCTTTGGAGAAATAATTGCTGACACCTACACGGCAAGCCCTCCATTTGGGGGCTTAACATGTTCTGTCACACCTGTTTAAATTATATCAGACACCAAAATGCACTTTTGTATTAACAGTCCTTACCTTAAGAGTTCTATCTGTAGAAGAGGCAACTTCCTCCTTTGACTTATCCTGCAAGATGCCTTCTGAGAGTCAGAGGAAAATAACCAGCTTCGATCATTTGAACATGGAGCATCCACTAGCACCTGTAAAAAAAAGACAAGTGATCCAAATATGCACTGACAATCTATTCTCAGGCATGAAATAGAGGAGTTTTATAAAACATGGCAAACAAATAGCAAATAAATGAAAACCATTTTTTTTTTTTAACTGAAAATACACCACAGTAAGTTTTTTCTTACAAGATTTCCTCACTAACGCTTTTCAGAAAAACTTACTGTGTACTTTCAGTGTTTGTTTTTGGGGCCTTGGGGTGGTAGAATTACAGTTTACTATCTCCACTAATGCTATTTGATATCCTTGACAACCACAGCAAAGACTTTTACAAAGTTACTCATTGTAATCAGACATTAATATATTTCTGAATTCTCAGCACTTATTTCTAAGAACTATTATTTCAATTTCAGGTTACTGAAATGACCTCTTTTTCTTCAACTGTCATACTCTGATGTGAAATGTTACTGAATTAAAGCAATACAGTGCACATGTTTCTGTACTGATCCAAATAATATATTTTCCTGAGTGCCTTTGAGTTACCTGGCAATAAAAAACATTCTATAATCTCCAATCCCAGAGTTACTGCTTTCTTTGAACCATGCTGACCATCAAATGAAAACTGCTTCCATGTTCACTTTATCAAAATTTTCCAGGGTACTGAGAAACTGTATCAGGCTATGTCTGAGAACAGATGGAAAATAACAACTACAAAGCAACATAATAGCGGTATCATTGGGCGTCTATCAGTTTGTCACAATGTAATAAAAGTACCTTGTCATGGTACTGGTACCAAAACAGAGATATAGACCAATGGAACAGAACAGAGGTCTCGGAGGCAACACAACATATCTACAACCATCTGATCTTTGACAAACCAGACAAAAACAAGCAATGGGGAAAGGATTCCCTGTTCAATAAATGGTGTTGGGAAAGCTGGCTAGCCATGTGCAGAAAGCAGAAACTGGACCCCTTCCTGACACCTTACACTAAAATTAACTCCAGATGGATTAAAGACTTAAACATAAGACCTAACACCATAAAAACCCTAGAAGAAAATCTAGGTAAAACCATTCAGGACATAGGTGTAGGCAAGGACTTCATGACCAAAACACCAAAAGCATTGACAACAAAAGCCAAAATAGACAAATGGGACCTAATCAAACTCCACAGCTTCTGCACAGCAAAAGAAACAATCATTAGAGTGAATCGGCAACCAACAGATTGGGAAAAAATTTTTGCAGTTTACCCATCTGACAAAGGGCTGATATCCAAAATTTACAAAGAACTAAAACACTTACAAGAAAAAAACTAACAAGCCCATTCAAAAGTGGGCAAAGGATATGAACAGACACTTTACAAAAGAAGACATACGTGAGGCCAACAAACATATGAAAAAATGCTCATCATCACTGGTCATCAGAGAAATGCAAATCAAAACTACATTGAGATACCATCTCACGCCAGTTAGAATGGCGATCATTAAAAAATCTGGAGACAACAGATACTGGAGAGGATGTGGAGAAATAGGAACACTTTTACACTGTTGGTGGGAGTGTAAATTAGTTCAACCATTGTGGAAGACAGTGTGGAGATTCCTCAAGGACATAGAAATAGAAATTCCATTTGACCCAGCAATCCCATTGCTGGGTATATATCCAAAGGATTACAAATCGTTCTACTATAAGGACACGTGCACACGAATGTTCATTGCAGCACTGTCTACAATAGCAAAGACCTGGAACCAACCCAAATGCCCATCGACGATAGACTGGATAGGGAAAATGTGGCACATATACACCATGGAATATTATGCAGCCATCAAAAACGATGAGTTAGGGTCCTTTGTAGGGACATGGATGAACCTGGAAACCATCATTCTCAGCAAACTGACAGGAGAGCAGAAGATCAAACACCGCATGTTCTCACTCATAGGCGGGTGTTGAACAATGAGAACACATGGACACAGGGAGGGGAGCACTACACACTGGGGTCAGTTGGGGGGAAATAGGGGAGGGAGAGTGGGGGGTGGGAAGCTGGGGAGAGATAGCAAGGGGAGAAATGCCAGATGTAGGTGATGGGGAGGAAGGCAGCCAATCACACTGCCATGTGTGTTCCTATGCAACAATTTTGCATGTTCTTCACATGTACCCCAAAACCTAAAATGCAATAAAATAAATGGGAAAAAATAAAAAATAAAAAAAATAAAATACCTTGTCAAACATGTCAGGCTGGGCATCTCCCATTTTTCTGCCATCCAATTCAGACACTTTAATTACATTTATCAAAGGCTGTGGGATGAAAGATTCTAACGTCTGCCTCAGCCACCTGAATCTCAGACTATCATATTCATTACACTGAAGATAACCTAAATAAAAAGGATTAAAAAGTTTCAAATGAAGGCAACGGAACTGTTAAATTTCTACTTTTCACCAAATAAATTTCAGGAAAAAATTAACTCATCATAATTATGCAAAAATAGGGCTCAGAGGTAAACAATATAATTTTCTTATGCTTTAAAAACAGAAATACAGATGTGTATACGTGTATGTATATATAGATACACATACCTACTACATAAAACATTTACAATAGTCATGCCTACACAGTCTCTCAGAACCTCTCAGCATTTGCTACACCAAGTTTAATTTTATTAGAGGTAAAACCTATAAAGAATTATAGATTCCTATAGATATGTTATACAACCAATACCTCAGACACAGTTCTCACGCTAAAGAACTAACTCTTAAGAGTAAACACAGGAGGTAATTCAGGTGCAAGAATATGAGACTCACATTGAGGCAGATGCAGGAATTGTCCTGGCTTAAAAGCCTCCTGTCCCACAGGAATCATCATTTCTTTTAACAAGTCCACAGGCTTTCAGTGTCTCCACAGGGACATGCCCAGTCATAAGAATCACTGCACTCAGGAGATCCAAAGCATGGCATCTCTATAAGGTCTCTAGGGGTTATTTATTCTTTCTCCCAGCCCACCACATACAGTTTACCAATCAGGGCCATTTTTATCATAAGCAATCTTGCCTAGAAACACAGGGACAATCTCTGTCAGGTTACCAAGGAAACAATACTAGAGAACTAACTGAACATTAAATTTTAGTGTAAAAGGGAAAAAAATTTGTAAAGTCTTTGCTCAAATACATATATATATATGGTTAGTCTCTCAGGGTATTGTGTATATATATATACACAGACACATATATAGAGAGTTTTTGGTTTTTTTTTTTTTTTATGCTACTGTTAAAAAGTAAAAAAAAAAAAAAAAAAAAAAACCAAACTTTTAATGACTTCCTATCATCCACTGAACGAAGTTCAAAGGCAAAGCCTTTAAATCAAGGTCCATAGTAGCCAGACCTCAGGACAGTCTCTCCATTTTAATCTCCCACCAGTTCCTCAGTATACTCTGTACTCAACTTGATGGACTATTCCATTTCCAAAACATACTCTGTACTTCTCTTGCTCATCTCATATGAGAGGTGTTTCTGAGCATGGCTTACCTTCTCTACTACCAGGGCTCCATATTTCTTTTCTTTTCTTTTTTTTTTTTTTTTTTGAGATGGAGTCTCGCTTTGTTGCCCAGGCTGCAGTGTAGTGCCATGATCTCCACTCACTGCAATCTCTGATTCCCAAGTTCAAGCAATTCTCCTGCCTCAGCCTCCCAAGTAGCTGGAATTACAGGTGTGCATCACCATGCCTGGCTGGTTTTTGTATTTTTAGTACACACAGGGTTTTGCCATGTTGGCCAGCCTGGTCTGGAACTCCTGACCTCAGGTGACCTACTTGCCTCGGCCTCCCAAAGTGCTGGGATTACAGGTGTGAGCCACCACACCTGGCCCAGGGCTCCATATTTATCTACAGGGAAGGAGCTCAGGAGATGTCATCAATTTTATTGGGCATAAAAGTAGAAAATCATCTAAAAGCCTATCTGTACAGCTAGTTTTCATGTTTATTTTGGGTGTATTTTGGAGGACTCACTAATGGAACTTAAATAGGTGTCTAAAAGCACTTGTCTTATCCTGAAATCACTAGAAAACAATATAAGACACAAGTTCATGGTATGGAGAGAGACCAATTCTAAGGAAGCAAAAGTGAGAGAAAAAAGGAAGTAAATCATGGAAGGAGCATGACAGATACAGGAGGATTTGTAATCAAGCTGCCTACAGCTTTGGTTAGTCTCTCAGGGTATTGCTACAGTTTGAAATTACAGAGCCTTGGAAGGAGCTGAATGTTATTGGAGCAAGGGGGAAGAACAATCTGCTGACCACTTTTTGTCTCTTTCATTAAAGTCCATACCAAGAGCTGATAATTTCCACCTACTTTGAGGTTGTGTACCCGGCCCCTTCTGGCAACTGCTAAGAAAACCAGACAGTACCCAAGGCCTGGTATTGCAAGCACACAGGTGAGATGACCTCTGCTTGTCAGCTGACCCTCATTAGGAAGCTCTTCAATTTGTGGCAGTGGAAGCATCAGCAGCAGACAACTGCGTGAATGGCATGACCCTTTGCTAGGGTTTCTCCAGTCTCTGGAAACAATTCAAGTGGCTCCAGCCACGAGGTGAGGGATAAGAGTAAAGATGAAGCCAAACACATCTGTAGTGATGCATAGATTGGGTCCACAAGATAACCCCCAAATTCACCCCCTACCATTGTTCATCTCTGCCTATCAAATACTAAGGACCTCAGAGGAAAGAATCACATCCTTACTCATCTTTCATTCAATTCCCCCCTTTTTCTCATTTAAATATTTTACATTCTATTTCGACTTTTTTAGTGGTAACGCAAAAGACTTTTAACGTGCACGTTAAGAAAAATCTAAGCTAAGGCAATTTTCACCAACTCTACTAAAAGTTACAAGAATCTTGTAATACTCTTGCTTTAGATGCTACTGTTATTGTTTATCTAGGTTGTCTTTGGACTTACATTTTTTAACCCCACAAAACATTATCATGGTCTTTTATACCCAATGATTGTTAGACTATCCCCACATAACATCCTACCTTTGCTCTTCACTTTTTTGTAACTCCTATCTTCCATCTTGGATGGCTTTCTTTTTTCCTGAAGTACATCCTTTAGAATTATTGGTGACAAACTCTTAATATCTCTCTATTTTTTACTTCACTTTTGCTCTCCAGGAGCATATTTTGGCTGAATATATTTCTGGATTGACAGTCATCTTTTATATTCCTTTGAATGCTGGTTCCTTTTATTACTCTCAAGTGTTAACCCTTGTCCGTTGTTCCTTTGAAGGTAAGCTCTCCATTCTTTCTAGTTGCTATTAAGGTCTTCTCTTTATTTTCAGTGTTCTGCAATTTCACTACAATGATTTCAAAGGGTACTTTCTCTCCTCCCCCAGCATCAAAGTGGAAGACAGACAGCTTTCCTTGCAGTCATTTGAAGAGGACAATTTCTTCCTGGTTTACCTTCTATGGTGGGTATAGCACTTTGAGTCCCAGCTTGATGTAAGTGAATTTTCTATTAGATACTCTACTTGGGTAGGCTCTGGCTTTGTTTTTTATTCCTTCACTCTCATGAAGCAATAAAAAACATGTAATTTTTTCATGTTAGCAAATGTTCTCAAGTCAAAAGCCGGCTTCAGTATACAATTTACCTTTAAGGTTCCCACTCTCTCTTAGATTGTGGCCACTAAGTATTTAAAGATAATTGATGCACTTAAAAAAATTTTAATATTATATCCTACATTTTTAGGTATTTTCTTAAGGGGGAATTGGTTAGGGTACCCAGTCTGTCATACCACAGGAAAGTCTTCATCATTTCTATATCCCTTACCTCTATACACATGCCATCCAACGCCTTGCACATAGTATGTACATACTTAATGCAGATGACTTGATTAAATCATGGCATTATAACAAATATTTAAATCATTACAACTGAAAATCAGGGCAGCTTTTCATTAAATTATATATAGCTTTAGTCAAGATTCTCAAGTCAGCATTTTAAAATAGCTTCCAGCAGAATTACTGCTTTATGCTATAGTACTATTGTGCTTAGATGTAGATTTTATTTGAAATGGTCTTAGGTTGATTAAACCTCTTAAAAATATAAAGTGTCATAATGCAAGTTTCATATATATACTAACATTTAATACATTAAGACAATTAATACTGTTTAAATGGTCAAAAGCAAACCAAATCTTAGTTTTTTTTATCTAAACAGGAAAAGGGGTGAATTTGACAAATTCTTTCGGATTCAGCATCTGTACATGGCAATCTTTGCTCCAAGGAAAGAAACCGAAATTGGATGTTTCATTCATTCATTTATTTTAGTAGACCTAACTTAAAAACAATAATCTTGCCTTATTTCCAATTTTTCCAATTATTCTTCGGAGCCATAATCTATAATACATGATCATTTTCTATGTTCCTCTCAATATTATAATAGGAATAATGATACTGTCCTATATCTTAAAGTGTCAGGGGGTGGCAAATCCATATGGGTCTGCAGCAACTTCAGTTCTCGCCTCCTCAGGAGAAAGAATTCGACTGAGGGGCATAAGGCAGAAAAAGAGACCAAGGCAAGTTTCAGAGCAGAAGTGGAAGAATTCTATTTTATCCTGCGCTGTGCGCTGTGCTGTGTGCTCTGTGCTGTGCTGTGTGCTATCCTGTGTGCTGTGTGCTGTGCTGTGTGCTATCCTGTGTGCTGTGCTGTGCTGTGTGCTGTGTGCTGTGCTGTGTACTGTGCTGTGCTGTGCGCTGTGTGCTGTGTGCTGTGCTGTGCTGTATGCTGTGTGCTGTGCTGTGCTGTGTGCTGTGTGCTGTGTGCTGTCCTGTGTGCTGTGTGCTGTGTGCTGTGCTGTGCTGTGCTGTGCTGTGCTGTGCTGTGCTGTGTGCTGTGTGCTGGGCTGTGTGCTGTGTGCTGTGCTGTGCTGTGCTGTGTGCTGTGTGCTGGGCTGCGTGCTGTGTGCTGGGCTGCGTGCTGTGCTGTGTGCTGTGTGCTGTGCTGTGCTGTGTGCTGTGTGCTGTGTGCTGTGCTGTGTGCTGTGTGCTGTGCTGTGTGCTGTGTGCTCTGTGCTGTCCTGTGTGCTGTGTGCTGTGCTGTGTGCTGTGTGCTGTGCTGTGTGCTGTGCTGTGCTGTGTG